TTACTATTATGATTTACTCATTACTAGAAATCGAAGTTTATCACAGCTATAGAGATTTATGAACGTTAATCCATCAGTACGATTATTGTCTTAACGTGGAGGATAAACGACCCAGTGCAAAACGTTATTATCAGCTGATAATGTACAAGTTGCTAGAGTTTCTTCTCAGAAATAAACGAGTTCTAACGATTCAGCCGTAATTGTCGCCGCAGTGCCTATTTTCCTTGAGCCAGTTCCCTTTTTTCAGACCTGCTTCTGTAAAAACACTGACTACAGGACTCGAGTGGACAGTATAAATAAAAAAAGTAATAAAAATAAATCCTATAATAAATTTTCAGATCAGAATGACATTAGTTATACCCACTGGCTTTAATTATTGTTTCTTCCACTTTTATGAAATCAATGTAAAGTTATCTACGCAATTGAGGTTTCCCAAAAAAATAAACTCAATCACTTTTAATTTTTGGGAATTTCGTCCTGTGTGCAAAAAAATAGTTAACTTCATTGCTTGTACTACACGCTTTAGCATCCACCGCTGAATAATTTAATCAGGATTTTAACTGCTGTAGCATATAGTTTTTATACAGCTTCTCTTCAGTTGCAAGTACCACAGTTTATATATCCACACCAGTTCTAACTGATTTACATGCTGCAGGCCAAGTTTTTGTTTTTCAGGCTCGTCCGCACTAAAACAGCCTCTTTAGCAAAGCGCAATTAACTGATCCGATACGAGCCTACAAGGTAATAATTGTTCTAACTGCGTAACTGTAGTAATTACTTTACGTCAAGCCGAACTCACTTCCTCGAACGCCTCGAGCCTGCATCCTGGTCTGCCATTTTAAATTTAGGTCCTACAAACTTATACTCTAAATACCTTCCTGGTTGACTTCAAAGAACTGGGACGGCTTCGCACGATTAGAAATACAGATCGAAGCTCAACAAGGAAGCGATCGGAGCTCAGTGTCGTTTTCTTAACGTTTAACGAGCTGAGCGCATACGCAGAAAATGTATTTCGTAGGAATATATTTCTCAGTGTTTGTCTTTTATTATCAGCTGTTCGCGCATGTACGCGACATTAATGGGAATTTACTATGCAACGAGCTCTGATTTCAGGTTTAGATTTCTTACGGATAGAAGATAACCTAAATTGTGCAACAGTGATTCTACTAAGTGTTGGTCTTAACTAAACACAACACATAACAGTGTAAAAATAATGCGTTGCGTTTGTATACAGTGATCGTGGTAAACACTAACCCCACAGACGGGCAACTAACGCTCATTGGCTATTTTTTTTGGTCACGGAAGGTCTTATGGTTTGAAAGGTGCTTTAGAGGAAGGGACATATGTGTACATGGCCCACGCAAAAGAGTAGTAGCCGGCATTATATAATGAATGAATATTTTTGCTTGAAGCTAAACTGGTGCAGCTGGTTGAGTTGTGCTTTGGCCTGACGACACTGACGCTTACAAAAAAAAATGTGAACGAAATAACATCGAAGAGCATTGCCAAAGTGGTCCAAACCCCCCAGTTACGCATACTTTTATTGTTATTACCTTGGAAGCCATCAGAAAAGATAACCGGGCCAGCAAAAGAAAAAGAAAGCCTTTGAGCCTAAAAGGACTACCAAAGGCTAACTTTGAGCTTATAGAGATAGGTCTTAGAGTTTCGGCAGCTTCCTTAGGGAGGCTTAACTTTGCTCCATCTTCAGCATCTTATATAACTAACTATACAGCTAGTATTACCATGACGGAGTGCGCCTTCAAAATAAAACAAATAAAATTCGCTCGGTATAGCCGAAGAACATCTTTGTTCCGGCCACTCATGAAGTGGACAATCTTAAAAAGCAATATTGTCTAAATGACACATGTGTATTTACTATGACTATTTTTAGGCTCTTCTACGATATCGTTGTCATATTCAATTAATTAAAAAAGCCTCACAAAAAACAGTCACCATACACCTCGTGTGGCGGACTTGCGGTAGGAAATCCAGGAAGGACTATAGCTACTTGGAAATCGTAGGACGGTAACATGTTTATCCGCCTCTTTATTTTGCGTAAAAACAGTCAAGCATTTAAGCGCGAAGCAGACTCTTTCGCTGGAACATCGACTTGTTTCTATTCACTCGGATCGGAGAACCTCTACAAGAATCTCTATTGAACAACCCCCCACCCAGTGGGTTTTGTTTATTTCTTCCGAACTGCCTTTAACGTTATTTGGCAACCATGAGCAAAAAGAAAATGTTGTTTTTTTGTGTTCCTGATACGATTGTGTTCGGCTTGACAGGCCTTTCTCCGTTCCTATCGTATTGACTTTTATATCCCGGCCGCCGGCCGAATCGGCTGACGGCTGGTCTTTATGTTCCCCTGACAGCAGCAAGCAGGCCACGCTCACCGGGAATTCTCCTGTGCCTTAAGCTCTCGCATCTCGCTCACCGTCTCCAAATGCCGCACCAATAACCAGTTCTCGCTGGTCTCCTTTTCGTTCTCCTGTACCGCCTACTCTACTTTGAAGCCTTATTTCTTTGCAATCGTCCTGGCCCAGCTGGCTGTGCTCCCCGTCCCTAAGTAGGGCCCAGTATCTTTAAGCGCTGTTGGCTGTGTCCAGCCTGTTTGGATGCGTTCGTACTCTGAGGTGCGCAGGAGTGATGCCGCATCCGCAGTGCTGTTACTGCTGCTGCAGAACTGCCTCTACGAATCTTCCTTCAATCGAATTGCCGAACTAACTCCCGAGTTACTTAGCTAGTTCGTTTGGTCGTACGGCAGGTCGGGTCCAGCGGTAGGTCGGTTGGATGACTTGACTCGACTATAGGCTCTATTCGGCCTTATACCGTTGCGTAGGTCAGTCTGGCGTTGGCGTTTTTCCTCACGAAACGAAACAATGTTAGCTTTACAGCCGACAGTTACTCCCCGCTGGGGAACGAAGAGGGCAGTGGCTAGCTGGTTAGTTAGTTAGCTAGCTGGCTCGCTTGCTCACTCACTTGCTTGCAGGCAATACTGCCGCCGCCATTGCCATCCCACTACCATCCTGCGGTCTCGTCCCCGCCCACTGAAGCTCCTCCATGCTCCCCAACGCCGCTCCGTTTTTCGGTCTTCGTCTATCGCGCTGCTTCTACCGAAGGTCGTTGTTGCAGGGACCGTCTCGTGTAGCCTTCGTAGTCTGAACGAAACAGTGAGAGATCCATGAACGAGCTACTGCGATAGAGACAAAACGAGCTAGACTTAACGCTTCTTGGTCCCGTCGGGCTCTTTTGAAAGCCCTTGCCTCGTTATGGTGAACTCTTTAGGAAGCCCAAGCCTGAGTCCAACGCTTTGTCCCTGCAAAATATGGGGCCGAGAATAGGAACCTCACAAATTTGCGGGACCATGCAAGCAAAACGAATGTTTTCTTTTCCGTATTTTGTCCACCTCCTTCTTTCCTTTACTTTTCCCGTCTAGAATCTTCCGTTCGCCAACCTTGTTAGAGCCTGAGAAAGCCTCCACCAATCATGCACCCTTTCTTATAGAGCTTACCCTCAGTGGCTCACGACCAAGCTCGCGAAGCCTTCACGAGGTGCACTGGCAACGGCCAGCCATTGGACTTTTTTGAATTCTTTTAGAATCATAGCATGGCCGCGCATAGAATACATCGTAAAAAATGCGTACGTTTATCTCTCAGCTTTCCTCCGCAAAAGCCTTTAGGAACATATTGAAACGACGTTGTCGTACATTTCGCCAACGACGATCACGAGCGACTCCAAAATATGATCCTAGAATTTATTTAGGGGTTAGTGCACGCTAACGAAAGATCGAAACGTCAGACATTGAACTGTATGACAGCAGAATAAGCAGAATCTCTCACGCTCTTATCACCTATTTTAAAATGGGCACGTTGTGCGAATATCGCTTAACATGGCGAACGGCCGTCGTGAACCATACCTTATTACACTCTGTCGCATAGTATGTTTAGTTCCACAATATGGCGCGTAATGGATAGCCCGGACGGGATTAATGTGTTTGGATTTGTGATACAAAATGGCAGCGTTGAAAAATCCTCATCGCGTTGCTTACATTTATTTTCTGGAACATCTATTATCTTACAGGTTTCGATTGTGCCGTTCACTTTCGAAATTGATACCTCAACATGGTACCACAGTTGTATCAATTCCACGTTCCTGATTTATCGTATAATCAGATACGTAAGCTTTTGTCGTTATTAGACTACGTTATGTTCGCGACGTCTGCTATTATATACAGATTAATTCACCGACACGTACCATTATCCCTTTACCATCTTATCAAATAAAGTGATCACAGTCTGACTGCATCAGTTATCCGGTACTACCAAAAGCATTAGATCACATTAGGACAACTATCTACACGTTTGCAGAAACGCTACGGGAAGCCGTGACGGAGTTCTGAGATTCAAGTCGTAATCGTACCTAAGTAAACACGTTTTCAGATCAAACATTTCTTCTGTCATGTACAACATCCGATCAGTCGTTAAATGGGTGAGAGGAATCAATCGTATTTTATTTATTTTCGAATAGTTTATTAAAGGGCTCGTATCGAGTGGTATTATTGTTAACATAAGAACTTGTGCCCACATTCTGTACGGCGCATACACTTCAACAAAACTGGTCAAGAATCTCGCATCTATCAGTACCGTCCCCTGGATCAATTGACACCGGAAAATGTTTCTATTCCTAACAGCAAAATTAACCGTTCGGTCAGACCCCCCTAAGGACGGTGGGCGTGAAAACAGGTGCATTAAATGATGCGTCATTGCAGTAGATTAAAATATAATTATTATATTGTTATTTTATGAATTTCAAAGATGCCATATATATATATATATATATATATAGAAAAGCCAAAGTGGCTATCGCCACCTGACTTGCTTCGTAACGAGCGTTACGACACATTTATAACATTCGCTAATTTTTGCTCATGAACAGCAAACTACATGCGTTTATTCATCTTCCGTTTAAGTTAAATCACTGTTCTTCCTGATCTGACCTAGTGACGCTTGCCTGATCTGAAGACGAACTCAACCATTTCCTTGAGCGGACCACATGCGACAGCGTATCGAGCTCCGTCGTAAAAGATATGGAAAATTAACCTGAAAAACTTCGTGTCTACCTTCAGCTGATCGCAATTCCTCTCATCTAATCAAACGTTGCAAGACGGTCGGCACATACATATAAGTGAGTTGAATTTGAAATGACAATAAGTGGTTAATAGTTTTTATCACGATGGCGTTTCTAAATATTATATAATATTACTTTAAATACTTTTTCACAAATCAAACAACTAAACACATGAAACAGATGTTTATATATTAATTCATTTGATACTTTTCAAAACAAACCTCTGATACAGACACCAAGTGAAGCAGAGAAACTGCTGTAGTTTGATTGAATACTAGTACAGTGAAAACCCTCTAGACACGTTCTTTTCATGGGTTTTAATGCCACTGGTCAGCTTTCCACTAATTTCTAAGAAATCGCAGGGAATTACAATGTCTTTTCAAAAAGAAGTTCTTAGCTATGTTCGCGTTGAAATTTAAAGCGCGAAAATAAGTCATGTATAACTTTTATTTAATAAATTACCTTCTTTAAATAAAATTTTTTCTTGTTTTTTTAGAGAAAAATGTTTAAGAGAATGTTACTTTCCTGGAGTTGTTTACTGGATCATACTGACATAGAACCACAGACGTGCAGTTTGAGCTGTATCTTCTACCGATAGAACGATTGATACGATATACATTATATATACAAAATCCATATGCCAAAGCTTGGTAAGAACACCAGAATCTGTGTTCGAAAGAACATTTTCAGTAGTACTGAAGTTAACATATTTTGTAGTAAGCATAACTTGTATAGCCAAAAAGCTTACTAAGCGTGTTATTTACCGTGTAGCCGTAATCAGTAAAGGTAGTATTTCTAAAATCCGGTTACCAACCGTAGTAGCATGGCTATAATGTACTTATATGAGAGATATTGTAAACAACGAAAGAGATACAACATCAACGAAAAAGGAGTTACCTTAGCATAAGCGTCAAACTGTTACCATGACATTCTTCAAAGCCCAAAAAGGGCGGGTTTTTTTAAAAAAAACCTTTACCGACCGGCTGTTCAACACTTTGTCAGCATACGCATCCCTGGTAACAATACGGTATCCAGATTTAGGTTGTGGAGATCGAAAGAAAACAAAGAATTCGCATTGCTACGGACTAGTGGAAAATGGCGGGTGATGGTGCAAGGCAAAAGCGAACAGCAGCGGCTATCAAAACCGCCAATAATAGCTCACTTAGCCAGGGCCAAGAGTTCAGCTGGTGCACGACACTCTGACGAAACCTCGTCGTCTTAAGTTTGTGCTACGTCAATTTTTCCTCTCCCATACTCGCTCAGTCCCCCTATCAATCATTCACTCTCTTTGTCAGAGCGGCGCGGCACTTGTATCGCTTCGTACCGCACTGCTGTCACCGCGATAACGAGCTGCTGTGTCACTATCGAGTTCCCTGAACGAGGCAAGGGGGTTTGCGTTCACATGATGACGACGCGGACGTCCGTTGCGTTATTTTGCAATACGGCAAGTACGGGTGGAATGTAAGATCACCTTAAGCCAACACAAACGACCTGGCCCGGGTCGAAGAAAAGGAAAGTAGGGGAATGGAAGCGTGCGTGTCACAGATGGTCGTTTTCGAAGAACGCGCACGAGGGAGACACATACTGTGTGCCCATGTGCGTGATCAGGATTACGTTTTAGAGCTCTCAAAACGAGATTTGGTCGAGTGTTGAGGCTTAGTGTGGCCTTGGCTTCTCGATCACAATCGGTTAGCTAAGTGGGTAGCCGATTGGAAGGCCTCGAGTCTCAAGTGTAGGCCGGTTTTAGGCGTGTGGCCAACTTTGGAGAAATGCGACATTAGAAAGAACACCATCATAGTACAGGAGGCTGTTCAGCAGCGCAACCTTAATGGGGATGACATCTGTGCCGATTCCATCGCCTGCCGCCACTGCCCCGACATGCGAAGTGTTAGAACTTGGCATTTTGGCTCTTCTGTTACTTTTTCGGAAGTCGTCGGACGATTATATAATCTGTCGCGAGGTTCCAAAGAAGTAACGTATACGTCGCTCAAGGCCACGTAAATATTCGAAATTAAGATATATATGCATAGGATTTTTTGTTTACAAAAAATGGTAGATAAAAACCAGATAAATACCTATAAGCCTCAATTAGCTGCTGGAAGAATTCTGCTGGTTGTAACTCCGTTTACGTATAAGTGCAGGTAATTTTTATTCATTGTATTTTTGTACAAAATACTTTGCTTCAGGCCAGAAATATAGCGGCTATCTAGCCGAGGGGATCAATTCTTGAAAATAAAACTGAATTAAACATTCTAATGTATTACTACTCGATTAATGGGATGAATGCTATTAAACGAAGGCGAGAGTATTCTCGTAAATTCAGTTTTTTACAGTAAGGCTCCATTGTGAAGGTATTGGCTGAGAGACAGAAGGCCTAATACACCTAGCTTCTGCATTCTCACCTTTATATATGATTGGAATAATCCCGTTAGTGAATTTCTATCCGTTATCACTGATCATAGTCCATACAACGTCATGAAAACAGCAGGGACTACAAAGGATCCTCTTTGCAATTTTACCGGTTCTCGCCTAACGCAATATAAGGTTGTCTTACAAAAAACATAAATATAATCATAAATCATGATTTGTTGTGGACAACAACTCCACCCTACGACAGGTGCGACATATTGTATATAGATCCTCATGTTATAAATGAACGTCTATATACAATAGTGTGTTCATGTATAATACATCGTGGTTCTTAATTATACGACTTACGACGAGAGCCAATGCGATGTAACCTGTGTAAGCAACTACATACAACTTACAAGCAATAACACAAAAATCATTTCCACCATTACCAGCATCAGCATTGTCGTAAAGCGGTGATCGTCATCGCCATTTCACCAAATTGTCGTTATTATTAGGTCCAATTATCGGCGTTGTTACTGCTGTTGTTACCAGTTTTTTCCTGCATTCACTCTCCCATCCTCTTCATTCCCGCATCCGTCGAGTTGCTGCCATCTGCCTGTTCCCACGAAAGCCAATTATAGGACCGGCAGCAACAGAAACATCGCCGTCATTGGGCGAAAGGTGGATTTCGCTACTGCCGCTCCCACTACCGCTGCCGCTGTCCAAGCTATCGCTTGTCGCCGCCGCCGCCGCCGCTGCACCAAAATCATCGATGGCCATAAGCTATTATCAGAACTAATGGATCGGGCCGGTCGATCACCCCGCTTCAGCCCGCGGGGCCGGCCAGTTGGCGAAGGGCAAAGGAATAAAGACGTAGTCAGCAGACACCGGCGAGCAGCAAGTGGTTAGCCAATGGCAAGCACTATTAGTGCGCCTAGCTTCCACCAATGACTCCCCTTTTTTCCATGGCCGACTTCTATTGCGCGTACATAGCTATCTGCCCCTGACGCTGCGATCAGCTCCAGCCAAATTAATATGCAGAGGGTCGATTTATGCTGCTTTTTACCATAACAGTGGGTCCGCTTCGTGGGACTCGCCTCTTGTAGGGATGGATCGCACAGCGACTAACCGACACTCAGTAACCGCTAATAAGCAGGGCCATAGAGTGGCGTTTGTCACACCCTCTTCAGAAGCGGGGTACTCCACATTCACATACTTCGTTCCGATATGAAGTCTTTTTAACCATAGTTTGTGTGCCACGTAGCCTGCTGAAGCGACGAAACCATGTGGACAGGGTCCGTAGGGTATGATTAGCGGCCGTGCTAGCAAAAACCGGCTATATAACGAGAGAGGCAAACGAAAACGGAGAATATTTAACGGCTTTTAGAAATGGGCATAATGAGCGCATTCCTTGTTCCAAATGGCGGCCAATGCCAGTGCGATGATGTTAACAATGTGTCCTTAGTTTTGCTTACAACGACAAACATCGAATTCCTTCTGCTTTTCCATCTTGGTTTTGCTACAGCTTTTTCGGCTCCAGCTGCTGCCTGATCGTAGCAATGATCGCAGCAATGATCGCTGCGTCGCTTCGCTCTGTCGGAACATCTTAGCTTCTCCGTTCACTTCATTCAGTTATTAGCTCGCTCGTTCACACTTCGCCTTAGTCGTTCCCCTCCTTTCCGTCGTCGTCTGTTTTGGTCTTGGTTTTTTTTTCTTTTGCAGTCCCTACTTCCTTTTTTCATACTAATTTGTCGTCTCGCAAAATTGGTTCTACAGTTCCTAGAAGTTCAACGTCGTTTGAGCCAATGCCGACGTCGCGACCAAAGGTTGGGTTGGGACCCAGCAGCCATCAAGATCCAGCGTGTCACCCCTGCATTGCGACTGTGAAGACGACGTGTATGCGGACTTCGGACGTCCTCTACTCAGAAACGATCCAAAATGCTGAGCTTATGGCTGACGCATAGGTAGTGAATGTGACTTTATGTCTGTATGTATAAGCGTCAACGCTTGTCCGTTGGCTCCTCCTGCTGCCTGACTGGATGGTCGACAGTTCGGTCGGTCTGTACTGATGTGGCAATTTGCTAAATGGGATTTTTTGTGAACCTAAAAGGAAGCCTGAGAAAGGAATAGAGTGCACAAATCCAACAGCAATGACGAAAACGAAGAAGACATAAAAAAAATGGGGGCAAACGGGCGAAAACTGGAAAAAAAGAAGACGGAACATGGAGGGCGAAGTTCCTTCTTAGGTGGAGTGGTAGTACTTTCCTCGAAAAGCGCCGGTCCCTCTCGTGCCCTGTTTATACCTGACACATGCGAAGCGAGACGATATTCGAATTTTAAAGAACGATTTTTTTAAACTTTTCCTAGTGTGTGACGATAAAAGCCATTTCTGCTAAAATTATCGCCCACAAAACTAGCATGGATCCACTGTAATCAATGGCTGCCGTACTTTCATCGTCTACCGCCGGACAACCATATGCAATTGTATCCCTATATACGGTTGAACTGCAGGGTCGTAGATGTATGAATAAGTAATTCGTCTTGCAATCGAATAGTTTAAAACGATGGCGGTGTCGCTCAAAGTTTAAACCATTTAAAACAGCGCGTTTTTTTTTTTACCTAAGCCAGCTAGGCGCTACCTAAGGCAGTGGCAACATATCATTTTACGCTTCTAGTTACGAATGGGGGAGATAATTACGGTTATT